CTGCCCCCCCCCCCCGGGGGCCCCGGCTCTTGCTAAAAAGGAACAAATGGACTCTGGTTTTTAGCAGATGCCCCAAAGTTGAAAACACCCCTGGATCCATTTGGAAATTCAGAGCAAAGCTTCAGCGAGTGGGTTTTGATGACAGTAATTTAAAAGAACAAAATAGAAACTTTTTTTCTTTTTTTTTTTCAAATCCTCACCCAAGGATATTTTTTCCATTGATTTTTAGAGAGAGTGGAAGGGAGGGGTGAGGGAGGGAGAGGGAGAAGCATCGATGTGAGGGAGACGCCGATTGGCCGCCTTCCGAGCCCGCAGCCCGGGCACCTGGCCTTGCCCGGGCACCAAGCCGAGGTCCTGTGCTCAGGCTGACGCTCTGAAGGCCGAGCCACGCTGACCAGGGCGGACACATCTTCTTTCCTGATGCTTTTTTCCTCCAAGGGAGGTGAGCAGGTATAAAAAATGAACTACAGCTAACTGGTGCAATTCAGAGTTCGTCACAGCTTTACCCGTTTCCCAGGATTTAAAGAGAGTTGCCTCGCGTGGTGAAGTTCGTGCGCCCATTCCAGCTGCCGGGTGGGGGTGCGCAGCGGGACGCAGGCTGCTTCCCACGTTCACCCAGTGATGAGGGGAGGCAGGCCTGCCGTGCACTCAGAGCCGTCCTGGCGAGGGGCCGCCTGGCGTCTGCGTCGGTCTGGGTTCCTGCCTCCGGGCGCAGACGCTCAGTTTAACCTTGGGTGAGGCTGTGCCCCCGTGAAACTAAACCTTAATGTGTGAAAGGAATCTCGCGTCAGAGCGGGTGCCATGTGAGCTGTGCGGGCAGGGCCATCACACGCTGGGCGTGGTCACCCGGCTGGGGCAGGTAGGCTGAGACCCTGGGCCGGCTGCTCTGGCCAGGACTGCGGGAGCCCTTCTCTGAGGCTCCCTAAGGTGCTGTGCCCCTTGGCCGGGAACCTCCCCCGGGAGAACCGTGGCCCCTCTGTGCTCACACCTCTGTTGTGGGTGATGTGGACAATAGGAAGCAGCTGTCTGGGATCCTTGGACCTTCCTGACGTTGTCCTTCCGGGCAGGTGGGGGGGTGTCTCAGTGTCGTCAGAGAAAGTGGGGAGGTGGGAAGGACCCAGGGGCAGGCAGAGAGGAGAGCTGGGGGTTTCTCTGTCCTGTTTCCCTCTGGACGTCCTGATCACTGTGGTCACTCGGATGTCACTCACTCAGGTGCAGTTAGAGGCTGTCTCGGGTTAGGGTTCCCAGCCTCACCGTTTCCTGGGGATCACTGGTGGGCGCATCACCCATGGCAGACAAGTGGACCCCGAGGAGCGAGCCCTCTGACCCGTCAGGCTGGCCTGCGGCCCTAGGGAGAGAGGCCCTGGTCACTGCTCCCACGGACCCTGCGGTTTGGGCTACAGGTCACGCTCCGGCAAAGCACGAGGACGGCAGAGCCGTCCCTCCTCTGCCCGTGTCAGAAGCAGATTTGTAGGGTGACCGGCAGCTGCACACGAGTGAGGTGTGTGCGGGAAACGGGGCCGGTGCTGATGTGGCGTCTGGCCAGTGAGGCTGGGGTTGATTGGTGTCTTTAAGGAAGCGCCCGCCGGGCAGCGAGTTCTGCTCCTGTCCGGGGCTGTGGTGGCAGCTGTCCCAGACGGGCCACTGTCCCCCCACGAGGGATGGACGGTGCCAGAGGGTGCACCTCCCCTCGGAGGAGCGCAGGACCCCTGCCGCCCGCTGTCACCGCAGGTCTGGGGGCTGCTGTCCCAGGGCCGCTTAGGGCGGCTGCCCCACCCCACTGTCTGCGGTAGGAAAACGCTCCCTTTATTTGCAACCATGAGGAAGTGAGGAAAAGCACGAAGAATCGTTTCCTATCATTACAAACACGGTGGCACTGAACCCAGACCCCGATTCCCGCTCGTTTCCGCGGCAGCCGCTCGCCTGTGTCTCGTCCAGCCTGTCCCCTCCCCGCTGCCTGTGTCCTCCGGCTCGCAGGGCCTGGTGCGCGGGTCCCGGGGACGACAGCGGTGGGGCTGGGAGTGGTCGTTCAGGCCCTGTCGCTTCCTGGCGTGGTTCCAACGCCGGCTTTGCCACATCTGTTGCCACCCCGTCCCCCAGGCGTGTCCCTCCCAGGACCTCCCCAGGTGAGGGGCAGCAAAGGGCACAGCTGCGCATGGTGTGTAACTACGCGTTGTGACAGTCACCTTCCTAGGAGTTGGGGCATCCACACCCTCACCAGACAGCTCGAGAACATTTGGTGGCACGTTGGACAGATGTCCTGCTGTCCAACAGTCGCCACCCATACGGAGGCTCCGCTCTGGCCTCGTCTCTGGAGCACAACTAAGCCCTGTTCCTCTCTCACTCCCCAGGGCTCGAAGGTCCTCGTGGACGCGCGGGACAAGCTGGGCATCCCGTGGCAGCACTCGGAGAACGAGAAGCATGGCATGTTCCTCATGGCCTTCGAGAACAAGGCCGGGCTGCCCGTGGAGCCCGCCACCTTCCAGCTGTACGTGCCCGCCCTGCACGCCCTCTGGGGGGACTCAGGCATCCAGGAGGCCTTCAGCCGCAGGAGCGAGTTCCAGCTGGTGAGTGAGCCTCCTGCTGGCCGCGGTGGTTTCACCCGTGGATTCTGACCTTTGGTGGATGACCTTGAAAACTGTACAAGTACAGGAAGGCTGGGAGTCCCTTTAAATCCTAAAATTCAACAACCTAAAAAGATATCACAAAGGCAAACAGCTCTCTCAGTGGCCCGAGAGGGAGCCAAGTGAACTCGTGTGGCTCAGTCGGTGTTTCTGTTCAGGACTGTGAAGGGCTCTAGAGGGTTGAAGACCAGGTAACTCAAGGAGCTCAAGGTTTCAGATCTCGCCACAGTGGGAAGTGAATGCCTCCGGGGACAGCTGCCCCCTGGCTGTGTGCAGCCCACCCTCGGGCAGGGATGTGTTCAGGGTGGCACCTCGGGCGCTGCTCTGCACCCTCCCCGGTGTTCCGTTCCTATTCCTTTCACTTTAGGTCTTAATGTTTCAAAACGCTCAGTCAGTCGTCTTCGTCATTTAGGTTCATTCAGGGTATGAATCTATAGACAAAGTTTGGGTGCTGTCCCTGGAGAGGAGGGAGGGCCCTGCAGAGCCGTGCACCCCACGGTGTGCTTCTGTTCGCAGTGACAACCCCAGCTTAGACCCACTTACCTGACAGAGGGACCTGGTGGCTCAGCACCCACCAGGCCCCAGGATGGACGACGAGGCGGGAGAGTGTATGCCCTTTGAGCTGTGACTCCGCACGCCTCCAGGTCCTCTGGGCTCAGTCACCTAGGGTCTGGATTCCCCTGTGGCTGGGAGTGACGGCGCCAGGACAAGGCCACGGCAGGGTGGCCAGGAAAACCCAGTGCAGGGGTGGGGAGGCCTGGGGAACCCTCCACCCCTGTGCCACCCTGGAGTGGGCCTGCAGCCTGCTGGGGGCGGGGGGTGACAGCACTTGCTGAGGCCACGCGTGCCATGCTGGGCATAGTGGAGTTCCCCATGTACAGAGAAGCCATAGAAGTGTGTAAAGCACCAAAATAATGATCCGATTTGCAACTTTTCCAGAAATCCCTGTCAGTGCAGGCGTGCAGGGCGCGCTGGAGGGGACGCAGGCCAGGCAGGGGCTCTTCAGAAGTCAGGACACTGAGAACTTGAACCAGGGCAGAAATGGTTTTGAGACTTGACCTCAGCGTATCTTACGATTTACTGCTACTGGGTTTTTGCACAGCTCTTTGCTTGTGATCTAGGTCATCGTCGTCTTCATTCTTGGGCGGTGTGAGTGGCTGGGAAGCCACCAGGTGCCAAATTAACTGAGTGGTGGAGCCGGTGTTTGCTCATCTGTTCCCTAAGCTGGTGGCCCATGGGCTCCATGTGACAGCATGGTTCCTATAGGTCAGGGTTGCCTCTCACCCTGTTCTCTCTCCACATGCCAACATTGTTGCTATAGGTCAGGGCTGCTTCTCACCCTGTTCTCTCTCCAGGTGACAACATTGTTGCTATAGGTCAGGGCTGCTTCTCACCCTGTTCTCTCTCCAGGTGACAACATTGTTGCTATAGGTCAGGGTTGCTTCTCACCCTGTTCTCTCTCCAGGTGACAACATTGTTGCTATAGGTCAGGGTTCCTTCTCACCCTGTTCTCTCTCCAGGTGACAACATTGTTGCTATAGGTCAGGGCTGCTTCTCACCCTGCTCTCTCTCCAGGTGACAACATTGTTGCTGTAGGTCAGGGCTGCTTCTCACCCTGTTCTCTCTCCACGTGACAACATTGTTGCTATAGGTCAGGGTTGCTTCTCACTATAGGTCAGAGCTGCTTCTCACCCTGCTTTCCAAGCGGATCAGCTCCATGTAACATCGTTGCTGAGGGTTAGGGCACCTTCCCTGCTCAGAGGACTGGACAGTTGTCCTGGGAGCGCTCCTCACCTGTCCTCCCATTGCCAGGGCACATGCTGAGTGCTCACTTGCTCAGCTGTCGGGAGGCTTGGCACAGGTGCCCATGGGCAGGTGAGCTCTTTGTTTCCTCTCCTCTGATGCTGTGCTTCATGCTCCTTGGATGTTAGTGAATCCTTTTTTACATCCATTCAGTTTTTATTTCGAGGTGGCGGAGCCTGGTGTGTTCTTAGAAAGGCAGGTGGATCTGGAGACACCAGCAGAGAAGGATGCTTGTGCTCAGAGCACAGTGTCTCTTCATTTCTGACATCAAGTGATTCTGCCGTTAGTGATTTTTCCCATCGCGTTCAAAGGAATCGCCTCTGTGGCATTGCCAGAGACTGCTAGGAAAGGCCGGCTGTGCGGGCTGAGCTGTGGGCATGGAGGAGGGTACCCATCGTGGTGGCGGGTGCTGCTGCCGAAGGGCCCAGGGAGTGGGAAGCTGTGTGAGATCAGCCTGCAGCTGACGAGCAGCGGGCTCATTACAGAAGGAACCACTGGGATTCGTGGCCTGGCTCCTGACACGAGTCCACATGTGCTGCCCAGCCTCAGTGATGCCCAGGCTTCAGAAGCACTCAGTTACCGCATTTGCTGTCCTGGGCCCGGCCCCTGCCATCTCCCCTCCCTCACCCCCGTGGATTGGGCTTTGTCGGGGCCGCAGAGGCACGGCGTGCACGCGCTCTAGCCTGGACGGCCCCCCTCCCGGTGCGGCCCTGGCGTGAAGTGCCCCAGATGCTCCTCTGCATTCCTGACACAAATACCGCTCACGCTGTGTGGTGGTTACAGCTCCTTAGAAAACAAGCAGCCCATCACTTTCAAACAGGCCTGACTCGCAGGTTAACGCGCCTTTGGAAACTTGCCTGTGCTTTTGCTATTATTTTAATCGAGTTTCCAAACACTCTCCCCAAACTTTCGGACACTGGAGGGCCGGGCTAGATGGAAGTGGGGTGATTTATAGCAGGACAGTAACGTTCTGTAACTTCCTGGGAGGCCACGTGAAACAAAGCAACATACTGCAAGGGCACGGTGCCCTTTCTGTGCCTGGTCCCTGTGCTTCTAGGAGGGACGCTGACTGTAGTGGTCGCTTTCAGCTACTCTGGGAACAGTTCTGTGGCAGCTGCTTGATTGGGAATAAGACTGGAAGTAGCAGCCTGCCTGGCAAAGGACAGCTCTGTCCACGGGCTGTGTGGGGTAACGTAAGAGCTTTCCACTGGCTCTGGAGGGTGTTAATTAGGCTAGCCGCCTCCTTGCCCTCTGAGTTTTACCGAGGCCCCTGGCTTTAGCTGTCATCTTTTTCTTCTTTTCTCCCTATAAAATACTGCAATCTAACGGTTCAGAGTAAAGAAGACAGGAGAGCCCCAGGAACTGTAATGAGGACGGTGCCTGCAGCCTTGGTGTTTCTTATGGTGCAGTCTGGAACATTCCAGAGACTTTCTACTTGGAAACAGTGGTGGCTGCTGCCGGTGGCAGATGGAAGTGCGCCGGGTGTCTGCACCGTTGCTGTGAGATTTGGTTGCATGTGATGCAAAACCCAGAACAGCAGGGACTGTTCTCTCCCCTGTGAAGACGTTCAGAGATAGTCCAGGGACTACAGGGTGGGTCTCTGCAGACCTTCCCCAGGGCCCTGCTGCCTGGCTCCTCCCTCAGGCGTGGCGCTCTGGTGCACCCCAGACAGCAGGGGGGTGCAGAGGAGGAGTCTACCCTCTTCCTTTTAGGGCGATGTCCTGCCAGCACTATCCAACAGTCCTGGTGAAGCTCAGCACCCGAGGGTGGTCACGTGGCCACATCTTTGGGGAGGTCTCAGCTGGTGCCTTGTTGCAGATGCAAGCTGCTGCCAGAGGTAATAGGGGGCAGGGGTGGTCCTTAGGGGTGCAGCCCCTGGGAGCGCACAGTGGGTTTTGTGAGTGATTTGAACTCTTCTTTGTTGAGGAAGGAGACACGGTAGCACATAATATATACTCGAAGAAGTATTATATGTGGTAATGGAGACACCTCACAACTGTGCTCTCGGTCATGTGTCTTTAATTTCATGGAATTCATTCATTCAGCAAATATTTGTGGAGCAGACACCATGTGTCAGACACTCACAGATCCTCAGAAATCACAGAAAACAAACAAAAACAAGTCTGCGCCCAAGTGGAGCTGATGGTCTGACAGGCGGGGACGGGCAGTAAATAAGTGAAC